TGTGAGAGAGACGCACTGATTGATTGCCTCCTGCACGCACCCTGACGGGCTGGGGATCGAGCCTGCAACCCAGGTACATGCCCCTGGCTGGAATCGGACCCGGGACCCTTCAGTCCGCAGGCCGATGCTCTAACCACTGAGCCAAGCCAGCCAGGGCTGTCTGCATCTTCAGATATTCTTCTGTCTCAACTATCCTGGGTTGAATAGTGCCCCCTTCCCCCCAAATCACGTCCACCTGGAACCTCAGAATGCGACTTCATTTGGAAACAGAGTCTTTGCAGATGTCACCAGTTAAGATGAGGTCAGGCTGGATTGGGGGGCCCTGAATGTAAGGACAGAGCCCTTACAGGACAGCCATGCGCAGCTGCACAAACACGGCCGTGGACGGCAGAGAGCTAGTGACGCAGCCACACGCCAGGGACACCTAGAGCCACCACAAGCCAGAGGAAGGAAGGACTCTGCCCCAGAGCCTCAGGGGGGCACCGCCCTGCCCACACCTTGATTTCAGCCGGGGAGCCTCTGGAGCGGTGGGACAACACATTTCTGTTGTTTTAGGCCCCTCGGTTTGCGGCTCTTTGTTACATCAGCTACTTTTAAATATGACCGTAAAATAGTGTATTTTACCAGCCCCCTACTGCTGGGGATTTTAACTGCTTGTAACCTTTCCCATTTGTAAAGGGTGAGAAAGTAAAACCCTCATAAACAGGTCTAACCCCACTTCCAAGATTATGCAGAAACAGGCGCATCTGCTGAGACAGACGCCACGTAAGCTATTAGAGCGTGAAATGTCCTCTGTCCTTCCCCCTGTGTCTGTCAGCAGCAGCAGTATTATTTAGGTGGCGCGTGTGCATACTCTATACACTGCGGGCGATTCCGTTACCCGTGTCATCTGCCATCCTGAAACTTTCATTTTTACGCAGTCAGATGGGAACAAATGCAGCTTCTGCCCAGAAAGGCCTGACCCACTCTGAGGTCACACGGTGTTCACTATAGTTCATCTCAAGCAACCAGCCTCCCTCCTTCTGGGAAATTGTCTTTTGTACGATGCCGCCTCCATCTGGAGGTGGAAAGGGGCCTGGGAAGGCTGTAGAGGCAGGCGGTGGGCGAGCTGGAGAGACGGGGTGGGTGCTGCGAAAAGGGGACTCACAGGTTGGTACCTAGGAGTTGGAGGGAGGGCTGTCTTATGTTTGGGGTACTGTGACCCCTGGACACCCGTGTTAAGGGAGCACTGGGGTTAAAACATGTCTTCCTATTTCTATTCTTTTGTGTGTGTGCAAAGGATTCCATTGCAAAAAAAAAGACGTAAAGTCGTTAGTAAAGGTTTAAAGACAATAGGCCAACATGATCTACTCGCATAACCACGGATGTAACCTGTAGTCGTGCACGGTCTTCCTGGCATTCTCTAGTTGTTCGTTGGTTAGCAGGATGTTCCTGGGGTCCGTCACAGTGAAGAAATGATTGGCCCGTCCCACAAACGTGCTTTGATCCCATCGAGGCTCCCGGATGTTAATGTTCGGCGGGAGTTCTCCAGACATGGTCCTGGGCTAGGGAGGGACAAAAGCCAAGTGCCGTTCAGACTTACAGCGTCAATACACATTCAGAAACTCTACCGTCTCGCTGAGCTCCAAGTAAAGATGCCTGTGCGCTCCCACTTCCAAAAATAATTCTGCTATTAGCAGCAGAGAGATCATCTAAACCCAGAGCTAACTGTGTCCATAAATCTCAACCAAATTTCAGTAATTCCCCGTGTGTCTTTTTATAACTCTGTGGCAGTTCATCATTCCTTGCTTTTGGGAACCCAGAGATACTCAAGAGAAACTAGAAATAGGAAAAGTTAAAAATAACATCCACAGCAACAGGGTCTCATGTTTGAAACCCTTCTTCTGGGAGAAACAATCATCAACCTACTACTGCACTCTGGTCGAACTGTCCCTTATTTCTACCACTGGAAGGGACTAAACCACCTCGTGGGAGGGCAGTGAAGTCCCTGGGGCAGTGGGGTGGTTTCCCCTCAGTCTGGTTCACGGGAAGGAGCGCAGCATCCCAGGCCTGGTGGCCCCGGACCTGCCGGACCTGCCGCCTCCCCTCCGCCAGCACAGGTTGAAATTGGTGGAAGATCAGACCCCTTTGCGGAGAGGTGTCCTTGAGCACCCTGCAGTCCTCACAGTACCTCACCACAGTGAACGGTGACAGCTGAGTCAACGTGAAGGCCCTACTGGCTTTTTTGATGGGTTCACAAACCAGGCAGCCCCCCCCCCCC